CACGTTGGGAATTCCAGAAAGTCATCCAGAGGCAAGCTGTATGTGACTTAAGAGGTGAGCCTCGGGCCAGCCGAGTGGCACGTTGGTTAAGAGCTGGCATGGGAGCACCAGCTCTGAGCAGCAGGGCCCCGGTTCGGATCCCACATGAGGGCCAGTGACACTGCCCTCCACAGCTAAGATGGTGAACAACAGCTCAACCTGGAGCTGGGCTGCCATGAGTCGATGGCAACGGCATAGGCTGCAGCCCCTGCTGCAGTGGGTTGCCATGGGCTACCGTGTGTAGCCAGCAGCCAGCGTGAGCAGCCAGCAGCCGGTGTGAGCTGCCAAGAGCCGCCATGAGCGGCCGTCCAGAAGCCGGCGACTGATCTGCCTCATCCGGGAAGAGCACAATGATGGTGCCAACATGGGCCAGTGAAGCAATGTCCTCCACAACTAGACTGAAGAACAAAAGGACAGCAACTTGTCTGTTCCCCTTCCTCTTATTCCCCAGCGCTGTTCTCCTCCCACAATTCCCCAATAAAATCTAAAAAAAAAAAAAAGAGGTGAGCCTAGCACTCAAGAGACTGAGGTCCTAATTCTAGATCTCCTATTACACGATTAGCCACAATAAGTGCAGCTGAAGAAATACTTTTACGAAAATGTAAAAACCAGTTCCTGACTAAAAAGTTTAAAATTGTTGAGCAAAGTGAGGAAATATTCAAAATGATTTAATGTTACTGATAAAGCCACATGTTAGCAAGTACAAACGAAGAGTACAGTAGAGATGACTATATTAGGTGTTGAATTCAGTGGAAAGTTTGCCTAGGCCCTTGTTTTTGCCTCTGGAGCCTGAACACTCTTTTCAGAAGCACCTGGCATGTCGAGATGATGGAAATTACACAATCACACCCCATGGCAAATAAATGGGGTCAGGGCATGGCAGTTGAGTGTCGCTTTGGTGTTGTCACTGAACTCAGCAAAACAAACATTGATTCACACCAGTCAATTTTTAGTACATGCACAGTTCACGATGAGGGTGGTGGGAGTTATAATAAAAAGCCAGAAGACTCCAGTCAAGATTTATCTTTTATTTTCTGTAACAGTTAAATACTTCCCAGATCCCATGAAAGTCTGAACCTTAGGGAAAACCTGAAGCTCACTTTGCACCAAGGACTCAGCTGCTATACACTTGGCACTAACTGTAACAAGTACTTAGGATTCTAGCCCAGACAACAATACAATCCGTACTTTTCTTCAACTCCATAAGCTTTACCCAGAGATCCAAGAACTCTTGGCTTAATACTCACACTGCTATTTTAGGTGAGTCGCTGGGCAATTCACCTGTGTGTGTCAGGTTGCTTGTCTCTGGGTACAGATCTCCAAAGGTCAAAAAATACCAAAAACCTTTTCAAGTTCAAAACCTCAAATCCTTTCCACTATGACCAACCCAAAACTGGGACTATGATCCTTTAAATCATTTCTCATACATGAGTGTTTCTCAATGCCTAAAGCACAGCACCAAGTTATACTCCCTGGAATGAAGAAATCCTATATTTCCAACTAAGAATAGATCAATATACTCCAAGAATCAAATGAAGAAAGAGTAAGCCTGTCTACTTCTTACAAAATTAGGAGTCCGGGTCATGTTCCTTGCTACAAGAGAACATCCCACCTCTACATGGAGAGCCTGCTAAATGCTAAATACATTCACCATTAATTCACTGTAATCCAACTAGAGAAATCTGTGGCAGCCTAAACTTTCATTATTCTATGGAGGCCCCATTAAAGGCCTCTGTTCAACAGTTCTAATTCTCCCCTATTCCTAGATGACCACAACACTGCAGCTAAATCTGTCCCCAACGCTGTAAATGGAGAACAACCTGTCACGTGTGTGCTTGTCCAATGACACCAAAAGAGACATACCATCAGCAAACACACTAAGACAGATGACAGTACAGTCTGAAGGTTTAAATCTGATGGAACAACCATAAATGACTGCCAATTGCTGCACTTCTCAAGAGTCTTTTGCATTCGGATTCTACAGTTAAGTGATAAAGAAAGTTGCGTCATCCCAAGAGGCAGGCAGGTGTTTGCAAACTAAAATTATTTTAGAAAATAAAACAACCAACGGCAGCTAATATTCACCCCCCCCCCCAAGTAGAAAGCCAAAGTAGGTGCTTGAGACCTAACCCTTGGCCCCAAAACCCCTTGTCCCACTTTCTTCCTGGGATCAAGGCCTTATTTAAAGAAGAGTTCTATGTTAAAATGATATATGCAAGATTAAATAGGGACTACCCTACTAATTTGGTATATTAAAAGTTAAGCATGGAAAGATGTTGCAAAAAAAAAACCCATAAAAAGCAGAAGTTTGCCAAGGCCTGTCCCAAACGCTGCAGCCCCTTTATAAGGAAGGACCAGGGCATGAGGCCAGACCAAAAAGTGGGGGTGCAGATCCTTTATGGAAAGCTTCCTGACATTGTTCATAATTCATGAAGCCCCCTCTCGTTAGAGTCCTGAATGCAACTTGGACATACCAAGTGCTAGGCTTCTAAAAAGTAATGGCCTCTTTTCACTGTTAAAATATCTACTATCCTAAAAGCCAGAGTTGCTTGCATCTTTTGGGTGGATAGAAAACCCCAGTGGGAAGGACAGAAGAGAGCTTCAGGATAGTGATTACCCCTGGGGAGGCAGAAAGCAGACAAGGACTGGAGATGAGGAGGGTGGCTAACTGGATCTACCTAAAAAATAGAGGTCTGAAGTAAATATGCTTAAACGTTAATAACTGTACAATGTGGGTGCTGCGTAACTGGAAATCAAGTACACATACATATTTTTTAATTCTTCTGCATGTCTGAAGTACTTTATAACAAAAAAAATTAAAGTAAAATGCTTTGAATTTGAAAAGGAGACACAAAAGGCACAAAGAAAATGCATGCTGGTGCCAAAGTCCAATCACACTGCTGTGATTAAATGTGCTTGCCAAGCAACACGATAAATATACACAGGCCTCCTGGGAACAACTCGGATCCAAGATAACACACACTAAAGTAAGAACCCACTTTATAGTTTTATATTTGATCACCAGTCTTTTGATATCAATCCTGTTAACAAAAGGCGCATCGGTACATTTACCTTTTGCCAATACCCATGTTTAAAGTTGTTCTGAAGGCAGTGTAGTATTACTTTAATGTGCACTTGTTAATCTCAATGAAAACCAAATCCGGGAGGTGTAAATATGGCAGCCTGATTGTTCGTACTAAAGCTAAGTTGGATCAGAGTGTAAATGACACACGTCTGTTTAGTGTTCAGAGAAAAACCACAGGATTTCGCCTGTGTTAACAAATGCAGCTGCTCCACTGAGAGAGAACTAAAAAATCCATAGCTTTCTTCTCGAGGATTCACTACCAGATGGTCCATACTCCATACCAATGATGGACTGACAGCCGTTCGGAGCCAGCGTTGCCTCTATGGGCCTTGTCCCCCGTTTCCCCAAGTATCCGCTTTGATAGATGCATATCATGAGATCATGAGGCTAGGGGACATGGCTGCCAACATGCCAGTTCTGTGAAGAGGTAATATCACCTCACCCCATGCAAAACTCACAGAGAAATACCACAGACATTGGAAAACAGTCAGTACAGGGGCCAAGTCTGGCCCATGGATATTTTGTTGGACTCTAAATGTTTTTAAAAAGTTGAGTTAGGCTAATCCTCGTAAAAGCCTGGATTTCTGTATTCCCTTTTCTAAATATCAGAAGGTCTGGCAGCCCGGGCTGTTTTGAAATGAGTGGCAGCTGCTCAATTTGTATAAGGCCTGTTCATCACCGTCCTCACCAGCCCCCCTCCTGGTCCCCCACACTCACCAACAGAACTTTTTCTCACTGCTTGTCCTGCCCTTGTAGGTATTTTAACCTGCGGAGCCCAACTCTGAACAATACTAAGGGTGCCACACCTTGGCGGCACTGGGACTGAATAGATCCTCCTTAGAATAAAATTAGGGGGCGGGAGGGAGGCAGGGAGAAAGCGCCTGGTGTCTAGAATTCTGAATTCCAATACGGGGTAGAAGACAGGAAAAACAGCCTGAACTGGAAGTCATCCCCATCATCAACATACACCCATTTCCACGGTCCTGTGTCTGAGCTCCAACACATACAACTCCTTTTTTCATACTGGTGGGTTCCCTACACACATGAGATCCCTGGCTCTGAACAACGCTCATTTCAGCTTAGAAGGGAATCGCCTCTCTTCCCATCGTGTCTAAGGACACACTGAGGTGTACTGGCTTGTTCCTTGATGCAATGCTCCCACCACCCAAGCCAGCAGTGGGAATTCCTTTCTACTTGGTAATGCATCTACTTGGTAATGCTGTGCCCAAACTCATGGCAAGTAAACGAAGCATCAGACTGTGACATCTGTTAAGCCAGAAAGAAAAGAAATGATGGCTAAAAACAAAAGATATTTGAAGCAGAGAGAAGAAATTACTCATCGGCGCCAAAATAAGTGTGAGACGTTCGCACACAAAAGATGCGCAGAGAAAGATGGAACAGAATGCCATTCATTAATCAACTTCAAAAAAATATAAATGTGTCTACTTCAAATGAAATTTCCAAAGGAGAACTGTAATAAGCTTCCCACTGTGCATAGAGACACATACATGCACATACGCAATATATACGAGTATATACAGCCACAATTATGATAAAGTTCAGGATATATTAAGTTGCCATTACATATACACTACCTAAACAAATAAGGAAAGCTACTGACTAAAAAGAGTTTCCAGAATCCATCAGTCTCAAGGCCCTTTATGTTATCAAAACCTAATTTTCCTTAACAGAAGTGTCAAAGTTCATGTTCTCATTGGTGCCTGCAGATTTTCAAGAAACATTTCACAATTGAAGGAGAGTCTTACTCTTTAGGGTTACAGGATCACTGGTAGAAAAAAAATTAAAACCACATCCTGGCATAATTTCCAAAACTTGGTTTTTTCACGCCTGCAGATAGAAAAAAAGGTGAACTCACTGCAGAGAGCTGGCTCCATGCACATCTCAGAGGCTTATGGTGAACCACAATTTTTTCGTCTGACTTTGGTTCTTTGGGCTCCGATTCTTCATCAGAGTCAATGTCAAGGGCCTTTTCTTTGTAGTTCTGATATAGGACAGCACTTTCTGCAAGAAAAACAAACCCTACATGTCACTAATTGCCCCCATCATTATACTGCCAGTTCTAAGCAAACATCCATGTTTATACAATGTTTGGTCTCCAGTTTCATAAACAAAGAGACAAATGCATTTTGTCACTGAAGAGTATTCCGATTACCAAAAAGCAATTTTCTCACTCACACAGCTCTGTCCCAAATTCATCCATAGGGGGAGGGGAGGGGCCCATACATGAGATGACAACTGAAGCAAAATTTCTATGTTTCTGTCCACCCCCCATACTCCCCAAGGACAGTCACACCTGTCAAATCACTGTTTTTTAGGTTAAATGTAATTCACACCCTACGTTGCCTTCAACATTCATCACCACCCATTTATCTGTTTAACAAACATTTATTGTACATCTACAGTGTGCCAAGGGCTGGGAGTAAATAGAAAATAAAAGACTTCTCATGCCCTCATGGGCTAAAAATTTAATGAGAAAAATGGTCAGCCACTCATTCATTTATTCATTCAACTGATATTTAGAAAATGCCAACTAGATGCCAACAACTGCTAGGCCCTAGGGATACAACACTGAACAAAAACGATAAAAATCTGAACCTTCCTAGAGCTGACATCTGAATGAGGGGAGAATGACAACAAATAACGTACATAGTATAAGAGATGCTGATAAATGTCTTGAAGAAAAAAAAACACAACAACAGGTAAAGAAAGGGGATGTTTACAAGGGAGGCATGTAGATTTTTAATAAGGTAGTTTAAGAAGGACTCACAGAGGTGACATTTAAGCAAAGAGCTAAAAGAGGTAAGGAAGCAAGTCACCTGTGCTGGGGAAAAAAACATTCCATCAAAGGGAACAGGAAGTCCAAAGGCCCTGGGGCAGGACTCTGCTTTGTACTCTGTATATGCAAGGATCAGCAAGGAAGCCTGTGTGGCTGAAATAGGGTGAGGGAGGGGAGAAAGTATAGGGGAAGGAGGCTGGGGAATGAATACAGGGCAGATCACTTAGGGCCTGGCCTCAATGCCATTGAAAGGACTTTGTAAGAAGGCAAGCCATTGTAATGTCGAGGACGCAATGATCTTACACAAATACATACCTGCACACTGAAAGGTTTATATATACAGGTGCTCTGAGAACAGACTGTCAGCAGGGTGTGATCTAGTCTGGGCATCAGAGATGTGGTGATGATGAAAATCTAAGATAGGAAAGCCTAGAAGGTACAAAGCTAAAGGAGAAAGCAAATGCAAAAGCCCTGAGGCCAGTGGAAATATAGACCCTTAGAAGAACAAAGGCAGGTCAAGGTGCCTGAGCATGGGTGAATAGAGGACTATGGGTCAAGGGGAGTTTAGGGAAATGAGCCAGATAATCCAAATCAAACAGAGCTTTGCAGATAATGTTAAAGGACTGAATTTTATCCAGACTACAAAAGGAATGGGTTCCTCTCACACTGTAAAGACACTATTTTGTCCTGATTGCAATGGAAATCTACCGAAAGGAACGGTTTGATTCGACTGGAGGAGCAAAACGTTGACTATTTAGGAGACATCACCTACCAATGAAGATGCTATTGGAGTGGTCAATGAAAGATCATGGAGCTTGGGCTATGTGACTAAGAAAGGACTGGGAGTGGACTGGACAAGGAGTCAGAGAGACGGAGGTAGTAAGGGTGCTTCCTAGGTCTGCAGATCCCACAACTGGAAAGTAGGGAGAGGGAAACACCTGAAGAGACTGAGCTTTCGTGGGGAAGATTAGCAGTTTGGCTGGGGACACACTGAGTTTGAAACACCTTTCCCCTCTACTGAAGCAAGTAAACATCTGCCTCGTCTCTCAACTACTATCAACTACTCTATGTTCTACATACAATGTGATCAAGGAATACTAGAGTCTCTGCAAAAGTTTACTGTTCTCTGTTCTACATATGGAAAACAGATTGTGAGTGGGGAAGACTTAGTTTCCCCCACCTCTAGTGTCCTTTACAGTACTCAGTGGTTGGCACAAAATATATGCATATATTGTTGAAATGATTTCTCATTCACAACACTGGCAGCAACATTGTTAGCCTCCCTTTACACAACTGGCAGCAACATTGTTAGCCTCCCTTTACACATGATGAAATCCAGGTGCAGTGAGGTTAAGATGCTTGCTCAATATCACTCAGCTGATGAATAGAGCAGTAGGTTAGGAACCGAGGTCCCTGGTTCCCACTTCACAGGTTCTCACCACTCTACCGCACGGCTTCCTAAGTTACGTTCTTATTAGTCATTAACTGATAAGAATCCTGCATTCCTCATGTACATATATGTGAAAAAGAATTCCTAGGTCATCATATTTGAAAAGACAAGAGAGGTTGCACAGAAACAGCTCCTTATAAAAGAAAACAACATAAAACTAGTTATAATGAAGGGTGTGATTTAGTCTGGGGGTGATCTGTCCTCTAACTCAAAAAACGCTCAACATTTTTAACCCTTGAGGCAAAGGTCCCAGAATCAATGTCAAATTCCAGGAGATGCAAAATATCTCTCTAACTAGATAATAGGTTGATGCTTTGATCACTTCATGGTTATAAAGTGGTACAAGAGGAAGCACACTGGACTACGGACCAGATCTCTGTTCCAGTACTGGCTGTGTGACAGTGGACACATACTAAACCTCTCAGAGCTTCCAGTTCCTCAACTGTAAAATCAGGGAGATGAATTTATCCAAAGCCAGCTACGATAATACTGCAGTGCATCTGGGTTTCTTCTCCATAGAGAATAGTTTCCTAAGATTGGTAAGATGAATAAATTTTTATAAACCGATCGTGTTTAAATGCTCTGCTGGGAATGACATTTATAAGAATCACACAGGGAAATTATTTATAAGTATGAAGGTTATATATTTTATTAAACCTGGGTGGTTTTACATTGGATTTACTTATAGAGAGGCAGTCCTTCTTCATTATATTTTAAAGGTTGGAAAACCTTAGCATTTCAAAGCATGACAGAAAGGAACTACCCTTAGCTCTACCAAGCTCCACCAGCCCTGCAAGGGCTGCAGCTGGGGCGGCTGCTCCCTTCACACTCTCCCAGCTGGCTGACACTTGACCCATCTATTTACACAAAGCCCACTAATCTGATTAGGGATTGAACACCTGGTTGAAGTTGCCTTTGTTTTTGAGACCCCTAACAAAAATACTATATGGATTACAAATTCTTAAGAATATGTTTCTGTCAGCCAGGAGAGTTGGATTTCCCCAAAAGTGAAACTTGATGAGGAAACAGGAAGACAGAAATGATACTAAAATGAGGAAAAGAATATTATGTCAAGGGAAAGATGATCTAAGGAAAAATGCCATAAGATCTAAATGCCAAACTCTCAGAATTTTTAACTAAAGAGCTAGTGCTTGTTCTTACTCTTTCTCCATTTGGGGGGTGAGGGGAAGGAGGCGAGGTAAGGATGGAGCCAGAGCAGAGAAGAATGAAAAATCTCAGGATATTGGCTGACAGTTATCAGCTTACAAAAAAAGCCACTAATGTTATTCACTGCTGGTATCACCAGATAAAAATTTAGCTTAGTGCAGTGCTTTGTGCCGTATAATTTTGGGAAGAAGCTGGACATTCTTCTCATCTTAAGTGTTTTTGTAACTGCAGTTGGATTTCAACTTATAATTGATATTCCACATTGAAACAGCAATAAAAGTCTGGAAAATCAAACGCTTACCTTCCCCATCAAATGGTCCTTGTCCTTTCAGCATTTTTTTCTAAGAAACAAGAAAAGCACAAAAGGAAAAAGCAAAGCAAACTATGTATGAATGAGCCAAATAGAAAACACAACTATTTTAAGAAAAATTACGTTTTTTATTGTTACATTCACTAGATTTCCCAAAGCATACAGAAGATGCTCCCTGGAGTGGTTCACTCATATGACTACTATAATGCACTAAAACAGTGAAATAAAATGTACAATGTCCCTCACACCCTGTCAAAACAGTTTGAGAATCCTCAAATGACCAGCAGTTCAGCTCATTTCACTACTCATGATTCACCATCACTGTTACATTGAACTTCGCTATACTTGCAGAGTTAAAGGGGGGGGGGGGGAGAGAGAAAAAAAACCATAGAATGTTATGTAATTTCTCTAAGGCCACAGGATCTAAAATAAAACATGCTTGCTTGTGTATTACATATGTGACATTTATATAGACTGGCTCCAGTTCTCCAATTAATCAAGAAAAGATGTGGCTGCCAAAATGAATTTCTGTCCTATTGCTGAGATCCATTTTATTTCTGGACAAGGCAGCACATTCACATTCCAAAATATCTTTCTCTAGTTTTCCTTACCTCTTTATGTCATATTTGGCAATATTTTAACAAGTGCAGCTCCTAGGCCGTTATCAGGGAGCAGCGAACCACACAGTTCACTGGAACCTGACATTTTGAGCTACCAACTTGTTAAACACACTCAAGGGTAAATGGGCAAAAACAGGAATAAAAACAACCAAAGGCCATGTTAACAAAAACAAGTAACTAAGATGACAAGCTATTAGTGCCTTTTGTGACTCTGGCAGCTGATTTAAAATCACGTTTTTACCTGAGGCATTTAGTATGTGATCACACTAAAAAAAATAATAAAAATCAATAATTAAATAATTAACATAATCAATGGGCTCAAAGGACATCAGTATTTTCTTATATCAGCTGTGATAAATCAGCAACCACTGACTGACACCTCTAAACAAGCACCAGACAGCTTAACCACACAGTCACCAGTGCAAATCCATGCCTGCTTTCCACCCCCTTTACAGCTACCTGTTAAAACTGTTCAGGACTCACACAGCCAATACTTGATTTGCTGTATTTTCCCCCCATTTGTCCCCCACATTTTTGCCTGAGCTTAGCAAGTTAAAACAGTGATAAGAGGTTCCCCTACTCCCACAAAGCTGCATTAACTTGGGCTGTGCCTGCCAACTACAGAATGGCCAACCAATAGATGTGCACAGGTTTAATCAACAAACAACAGAATTAAAAGAGAAAGATAACTTCCGGTTTCCTCTGTGTCCCCCCCCCCGTCCCCACTCCCAACACCTTCACTTTGGACTTAGTGAAGGCCTGGCTGACATGTCACACTCCTGCTCACTCTTACCTTTATCCTTCCCAGGCTGGAGAACTTCTCTTTGTCTTCCATCACTACTTTCAGAACCGGCTGGGACATTCTGTTCTTCTTCTTCGAGGTGGTAGGACTGTCAAAATCAACACCACTGACCACCGCTCTGCGATAGGACGTAGACCGCAAGCCTCTCCGCAGAGACCCCGGGCTGTCTACGTCGTTCTCTGCCTCGCTTTCGTCCTCTGCGGGGCCCAGAGGCGCTCCGAGGCCCTCCACCATGCTGCGCACCTTAAGCAGTCTCTTGTGGGGCTCCACATTCTGACTGTTGTTTTTACTTAGTTTAATTTCCGAGGCCAGGCTCTTCGGAATAATCTGTTGCTTCCCCACTTTGAGGGCAGCCGGGCTGTTTGTGCTCAAAACTACTGACTGATTCTCCAGGAACTCGTTCTCCTGTGAGGGCAGCCTTTGGAGGGCAAGTTTTTGTTCCAAAGACCTTTCTTGGGGCGCAGGGGAGGGTCTCGAGGGTACCCGCTCAGGGTCCTTAGCTGTCTGGTCGGATAGCAAAAGGGAGCCTGGGGAGTCGGTATTAGGGGTAAACCCATTTGCAGCCGGCGAAGGCAGGGGGCTGGCAGTCAATCCGGTCGAGTCCTCCGGGCTGCAGGGGGCGGATGCATTAGGAGTCCGCGGGGGGCACAGCGCCTGCGGCTGCGGCGCAGATGAGGTCACCGTTCCATTCGCTGGGGATTTGGGGGAGCCGCCCAACAATGCTTTAGGGGCCTGGGGTGACTTGGGTCGTCGGAGCCGAGGAGAGACAGCCCTGTACTCTGGGGAGACCGTCCTCCTCCCATTGGCCATGACCCTCCGATGGGAGCACAGAAGCAGGGGACTCCTCTGGACCGTCCTGCCGTTCGAGGCGGTGGGCACCTGGGCGGGAATCTGAGCCGCAGGGAGCGTCTCTCGGTCCTCCACCGGGAAATCCGTGATCAGCAACCCACTGGGGCTCTGGTAAGACTGGGGTCTCGGCTTATTCCGGCCCAGCAGCTGGGGCTGAGGGGTTGACCGCCTCCGCCACAAAGGGGTTAAACGGTTGCTAGAAAAATCCACTTCGCTCTCGCCGTCCATAGCGGGGCCTCGGGGATCAGCCCCACGAGGAACAGCACCCAGTTAGTCTTGTCTAAAGAGGAAAGAAATCATAGAACTTTGACTCCAGACCACCGGACACGCCTTGCAGACACGCGCGCTCCGAGCCCGGGAGTCAACCCGGCTGCTAAGCGGGATACAACTGCGTGTCATTTACCCTCCCTGTCTCGAGCAAAAACTGCGCCCACCGCTCTGCGCAATCCGGAACAGAAATCTGGGCTGCTCCCAAACAGATTAACCCAATTACCTACTTGTCTTTCCCGCGCCCAAAGACCACCCGCACGGAAAAAGCCCGCCACCAGTTTGCCGGGTGCAAGCTGATGCACAGTAAACTTCGGACAAGTTTAGCTTTCTTGGGAAACTCGCCTCGGGACGTTCTCTCCGCCGCCATCCAGCCGCCTGCCCCTGTCGTTGGTTCCCTCGCGCTCAAACTGCCCGGCTCCTAGGCAGACTTACCTTCGGGGCTTTGCACAGCCGAGGGCCAAGGTGAGCCCACCGCCCCGTGGGTGGCCCGGGTTCCGGACCTAAGCGCGGAGGCAGGAGCTCTGGAGAACCCTGCTGCAGACTGAGGCGTCGGCTCCGCCCCCAAGCGCGACCCCGCCCTCAGCCTAGGCCCCGCCCAGGTCCGCCTCTGTGGAAGCCGGCCGCCAGCCAGTGTCTTTCAGGCCGGGCGTGCCTTTGATCCGGCCGGGCCTCTGTTTAAAAGACAAGCACACCTGGGCTGGGTGCCGAGCTACGGGGTTTCAAGCCTGACTGTGCGGGCTGGAGGCGGCAGCGACAGCGGCGGCGGGCGAGCTACCGGCGCGCTCGGTGGTTGCTGGGAGCACAGCGTGGGAACCAGCGTGGGATCCCTGCCGAGAAGCAATTTATGAAGCCCGGGGCCCCGGGGGGTTGTCCCGCGTAGAAACCGAGAATGCAGGCAGAGTAGGGTTTGTGAAATGCGTGAGTATGAGCGCACATCTCTAACCGCAGAGAGCCAGTCCCCTCTCAACGTTCGCGTGGCCTTAAAACACAGAATCTATGGTCTAAAATATCTTCTATAGACTGTTAGGGTCGCTTGTTTGTGCCCAGAGTATTTACGGAGAGATACAGGCAGCTCGGAGGAGGAGACCTGAGTGGCTAGGAAATCGAAAGGAGGAAGAGTTTTCATTCAATAACTTTTGGATCTTGTATGCTTTGAATCGTTGATGTCACCTATTAAAAATAAACGCAACTTAAATTGCAAAAGAATGTACTGTTTTCCAAGCATACACAAAATAAGATTCAAAATCCTCTCCCTAGTTCTGCAGGACAGGCCAACCCCTGCAGCCCACTCCTTTCCCCATCACTTACTTCTTCCTTCATGTAGTCCATACCCACTTTGACAGCCTCAGAACCTTCCTTTTTGTTCCTCCTTGACCTTTTGAATCATGGCTCCATCAGAGGGTCCTTCCCTGACCCCTCGTGAATCAGACCGTGGTCCTGCTTATTTACTTTCCCAGCTACCTATTCTCTTCCTCTCTACACTTACCACAATTTGCATATATATTATCCATATACATTTGTGTTTATGTTTATCTGTTTTGTCTTCTTTAGACTGGATGCTACATGAGGGCAGAGGCCATGTTTACTTATTGCCCCTCTGTATTCCAGGCACATGGTCCGCACTTAATAAATATTTATTGAATGAATGGATGAGGAGTGAGGTGAGGACAATGACCATCCTCCCAGAGTTCTCCGTAGCCGAATAGTAGAAAGTTGGCTGTGTTCTGGCCAAGCTCCTGCTATGTGAGAAGAATAAGGCAAACTTGAGAAGACAAATGATTTTTAGACCATAAGATCTGTATAATTAATTCTATTAGCAAGACACATGGGCTGCTCTCCAAGCTCCCTTTCAGTATTCATGTGTTCAGCAGGGATGTAGTGAGCATCCACTGTGTGCAAGTTAGGCTGCTTGTTTTTGCCCTAGATACATTGAAAGTAATGGCCAAAAATATTAGGAGGAAATTAGGTGGTGAGATGAAGCATGACGTTTTTCATGTTTCTTTATACTTTTTTGTACTTACAAAATACTGTGTTGAAACATATTGAATACTTATTACTTTAATCTGAGGTATTTCTGTAAACTAAAAAATAGGGCATCAAAAATTTTATCAGAAAAAAAATTTAGAAATTTACCAAATATTTTGGTTGGAAGAAATATGGTGGATACCCAATTTTTAATATAGGACATTTTCCATACTAACACATATTATTTTTACCTTGGAAGAACATAATCAATTTAAGTTTATAAGTGCTTAACTAATGACAAATGAAATGTTACCTAATTCAGGACATAATCGGTGACTTATGATAAGAATGGTGATGTGAGCACCTAATATGTTGGTTCTACAAGCAAGTATAACTGATGATTTTGAAGAAATCACAGTTTCTTTCTACCTCATTCCTAACCAACAACATAGTGCCTGCCAAAACAACACCAACAACAAAATGCTAAGCTCTATTCCTTCACTGAGAGAAGCTTGGGCATTCACAGACCTGGTGCCTGTTTTAGCCTCCATTCAATCTATCGTATCTATTCAAGTCGAAGACATCTTTGATTGTATGTACAACCAAGAAAGGAAAAGTGGTGCCAGTTAAATTATGACAACGTATTATCACATAGGATTTTTTATTATACTCATTGAAACAGTGCTTTTAGATTTAGACATAGATTTTCCAGTTTTTGCATATGTAGAAAGAAAAGTATAAACAAAATAAAGTATTTCTAAAAGTTCTGTACACTGCGTCTACTTCCTCTGAATCCCTTTTTCATACAGAGCTTCAATATGTGTGTTTTTCTCCACAATGTCATTGATAGTGCAGTACGTCTTAAAAAGATGTTCTAGTCTTGTCTCTGGGAATTGCTTCCTAGCCACTGACACTCATTCTGTAGGTTTGAAGCTGGCTCTATCTTATTTGACTAAAAGCATAGTTCTCTTGTTCAACTGAATCATATGTCACTCCAAGCTATGCAACTTCTCTATTAATGGCCAGAAGGAAGTTTCTGACAAATTAAAGTTTAGTGCTTTAATTGTAGTCCTGTAAGATACATGAATTGATTATATGAGCCTCTTACTGCTTTGGAATTTCTTTCACTTAGTATGACACATCTGGCAATTTCTGCTTCCTTTGATTGCATTTCTTGGTGTATGGATTTTACATATATAGCACTAAATTTCTTTGAACTCAGTGAAATGATGACAAATCAAACAGTTATGACCATGTCCACAAATACAGAGGCAATGGCAACTATATTATGACAGCTACCTGGCTAGTGGCTATTTCTTTGATAAGACATATCCCAGTTTCAGAGATGTTAAAATGTAGGATCAAAATGCTCCTTAGAACTGGAGAAATACAGTATATTGAACTATCAGAAATGGTATACTCCATTGGTATATTCCAACGATGTGTGTTTTTATTTTTTAATTTTTTAAAAATTTTCTTCCACTTTATTGAGATATAATCGACATATAACATTGTGTTAGTTTAAGGTATACAACATAATGATTTGCTATATGTATTTATTGCAAAATGATTACCATAAGAAGTTTAATTACCATCTATCAACTCAGTTATAAATTTTTCCTTGTTATGAGAACTTTTATGATTTGCTGTCTTAACAGCTTTCAAATATACAATACAGTATAGGTAGCTATAATCATCATGCTGTACATTCCATCTCCAGAACTTATTTATCGTATAACTATAAGTTTGCACCTTTTGATCACCTTTACCCATTGCCCCCAATGACATATTGAACTATTAAAGTATTCAATGGCATAATGCAGGATTCCAGAGGCTGAGGTTCCAATTATTGCTATATTTACTAAACAAAATTGTATTGATCCCCAATTATGTGTCTGGCATAATAGGTTAATATTTAAGTGCAATTTAGCTAGTATTATTTCCTTGCAGTTATATCTCATGCACTCTTTCTTTGTTTATTTATACATTTCACAAAAACTGATTGAGAGCATTTAAGTGCCAAGTACTGGGCCAAGCCTTCCTGAAGCTTACAACTTGGCTGATTAACTACATCTGAAACATTAAAATAATATAAGACACCCAAGCCGAGTAAGATACATGGTAATTTCCCAGTTCTATGAAAGCCTTTGTGAAGGAGTTTGGATAGAACTGTCCCAGAAGAGCAGGTAAAATATTGTGAGGTGGAGAAAAAAGAATGGTATCACAGAAAGATTTCTCAGCATGATCAAAAACAGGGAAACGGGTATTTATGAAGTGCCAACTATAATATATGTCAAACACTATCATTCATTACACATAAATTAATCTCACATTAATCCTGTCTCCATTTAAATAGAAAGAAGCTGAGGCTCAAAAACCTCTTCAGCTGGTCAGTGGTTGAGTCAAAATCTTAATTCAAGTCCATTGACCCCAGAGCCCATGTGCTCCACATACTGGAAACCAAATTCACAAGAACAGAGAGTTTTCATGTAGAAATTATGGGAAATCAATTGACTAGCTATGGTAAGAATAGAATGTGGTGTGTGACATAGGCTGAAGGGCCTGGATTTTACCTGGATGGCAACAGACACTCACTGTTTAAACTCTGCTATCCTTTAAAATAATGAATCTGATGATACCAGTGTCAGAAATTTTTTAAAAAGACAAAAAAACAGATTTGGCAACTAAAAAATATATAGTCCTTGTGCATTAAGAAAAGTCACATAAACCCATAAAAACTGAGGGAAATTTTCTCTTAGAGGGAAATTAGAGAAAAATATTTATAGATATATACATAACAGACAAAGCGTTACTATATCATTCACAAAACAATAGGAAAAAGATGTCTAACAACGGAAAAATGAGCAAAGAGTAAGAATACAGATTTTTGAAAATACACAAGTATTCACTATATATAAAAATATACTCACCTTTAATACTAAAAACAAAATTAACAGTAATAAAATTATAATTTTTTCATCCATTAGATTAACAAAGATTTTTTTAAAAAAAGAGGTAATATCCACTGCTGGTAAGAGTTCAGGCAAACAGAATCTGAATCGTCATTGATGGTGTAAATTGGAACAAACTTTCTATAGAGCAATTACACGATAGTAAGCAAAACCTTGAAAACAAACAAATCTTTGACCTAGTAATTTCATGAGTGGGAAATAATCCTGAGCAAATCCTTGATGTGTGCAAAGAAGCATGTTCAAAGATGTTCATCAAAACGTTTGTTACCATGGCAAAAAATTAGAAGCAGACTAAGAGTTTATTGGTAGGGCACTAGTATAAAAATTATGATGTACAATGCAACCACCAAAAATAATAATGTAGCTATATAAATATGCATACACAAATTCAAAATATATTAAGTGGTTAAAAAAAAAGCTACTTCAAACACATTATGTAAAATGTCCTTCTTGAGTTTAAAAAAATGCAAATAACTATGTATAAGACGTATATACTTAATCCCTAGATTTGGAATATTCAAATTGTTAGCATGCCCACCTCTGGACAGCAAAATTAAAGGTGGTATTTCAGTTACGTCTTGCTGTGAAACAAACCACTCCAACA